GCCGTTCTTTTGTTTCCAGGCTCCTCTCCCTCGCTGGTTTCGGCCCCTCCCACCTCAACGCTGTCTTCCCCGGACACCGGGGGCCGCCCTGGCCATGTTCTAGTCCCGCCTGCTGGGCCGCCGGGTCGGCGTCTCTTTCTGCAGTGACGTCGTCCGTTCCTCCGTTGCCCTGCGCTTCTTCGCTGACGCTGCCTCGTCCTTGGGTTTTGGGGGGTCTACCAAGACAAGTGACTCACCGGGCCGTGGCCCAAAGAATTTCCCTCGGAACCTTTCCTCTGCCCTCCACAAAGGTCCAGTAGTTGTGGCCCGTGCGCCGGGAGTCCCATGTTGCAGAGGAAAAGGATCTCTGTGATGTCAACAAGCTGGACGTCGTAGAAATCCTAAATAAAAGGTCCTTCTTCCTCTACCCAAGATTCCTGCTCAGACAAATCACACGGCTCTCAGTCTTAAATATCTCCATCACTGCACAACACGTCCCTGGTCACCTTAACTGCATACTGACTGTCTCTCTCACTTTAAATTCCAGGAATTCCAGCGCCTAGGCTACATGATGCCATGCTAGACCCCCGCCATGGAGTTCCCTGCCTTGGACTAGTCCCACCTTCTCTTCGTCTTTTCTTCTTCGTACACGAAAATGGGTCTTTAACATTCTACGCTCATAACATTCAGCTTCGCCGGAAAGTCTACTCCCACTTCTACTACTCACACAACATTCCTTTACCTTGCGTGCCGTTCACACAATCAGTGCTTTCATAGTTCACCGTGCAGACAATATCCTTCAATACCTCGTATACCTACCCTGCTTGCTGGGACCCAATCTCAGACCCGCTGCTACAACCCTGTTCTCTCCTCTCTATTCTCAGAGCCGTCACTCAAACTCCTCATCAAAGGCACCCGCAACTGCTACTACGTAATCTGTCTCCCATTCTCTACACATCTCACTCCCTCAGGGCAGGTGCTGCTACGCGCGCGGCGTCGCTGGGTTTCCCCTTCTGCCCTCCACAGCTGGGGCGCTGCTCATCCTCTGCCCTGTTCGTATACTTCAGGCCAGACACTACGACTGCACAGGCAGCCCAGCGCTCCTTGGCATCCCTGTAAGCACTTGCAAATCCATCCTCGTAAGCACTCGCAAAACTTCCTGTTGTTGGCAGCACATGTGCCTTTATTAATAGCGTTGCCTTTATTAATAGTGTTGCCTTTATTTATAGTGTTGCCTTTATTTATAGTGTTGCCTTTATTTATAGTGTTGCCTCACTGATCTAATTCTCACCCTCACGCTCAAAAAATTCGTCCTGCCAAACCCAGAACAAACTCACAGCCTTTTGGGGGATCGTGCGCGCACTCAGCAGGAGCCTCGCTGGCCCTAATTGCCCCACGGGGGCCTAGGACGCCAAACTACCTATCAATAAAAACATTCAAACTGCATTTTGTCTTCTGAGTCTCTCCAGATTGAAACAGAAGCTGAAACGACTGCCACAAATGTGATCACAGAATCAGTAATAGATTATTTTGGAGTTGGAGCACAGTTTGCGTCATAGTCGGGAACTATTAGAAGGTAAATCTCCAAACTGCTGGGGAGGCAGTGTTTCAGATAAATGCAGCTAAAATCTGGAACAGTCTTACTGATAATGTGAGACAGGCTTCTACTTTGATAGTGTTCAAATCCAGGTGAAAACAGTTTAGCTGTGCATACAACTGAAAGATTGTATCTTCACACTACTTTAGAAAGGACATGTCACATCCTGTGCCTCTGCTCCTGCTCTACTCCCCCTCCCTTCCCTCTGTGTGAGGGCAGGGGCGGGGCCTGCACTGCACACCTGGAGGCAATCACATCTCTTCAAGTACCCAGCTCTACAGCCTGTTGGTGCCAGATTGTTTCGTCTCATCTACTGGTGAAAGTCCTACATTTGGCTAGTTTTCTTGAGCTATTTCTCGATCCCTGTACTTACCTGTTTTTGTTGTTTTTTGGCAGTTCCTGTGTTCCTGTTTTTGACCTCCTTGCCTCCAGACCCTCCAGCACTCCCCCTCCTTAAATAAATTGTATTTTTATTTTTCACGCTTGAGTCGCCTTTTTGGGTCCCATATTGTGCCGTAACAGAACAATCTGGCCACATGGACCCAACAGACCAAGCTGATTCTGTTCGCCAAGCTCTGGCTTCTCAAGGTATTCTGGTTGGACAACATGAACAGACTTTGCGGGAGGTCGTTCAGAATCTACATGAACTCTCAATCAACGTTGCCCAGCTGTCCAATCAAGTCCACATGCTCTCCACTCGACTCTCGGATCCCTCAGCTCCTGGCCCCAGTAATCCGCCAGATGGTACCGTCTCGTCCCCAGCTCCGATTCTCCCTACATCTGCCCGTGAGCCACACCTACCTACACCAGAGAGGTACACCGGGGAATTGGGTGCCTGTGGTCGATTCCTGCTTCAGTGTTCCCTGGTGTTGGACCAACAGCGATCCACCTACAGCTCAGATAAGTCACGCATTGCTTTTATTCTGAGTTTGCTTGGGGGCAAGGCTTCTCAGTGGGCAACTGCTTTGTATGAAAGTAATTCACTTACCTGTCAATCATACCCAGCTTTTTGTAACGAAATGAGAAGAGTTTTTGACCACCCTGTTAGAGGAAAGGAGGCTTCTAAGAGACTGTTAGCGCTTAGTCAAGGTGCTTCTTCTGTAGCTGAATATGCTGTGGAATTCCGTATTTTGGCTGCTGAGAGTGGCTGGGATTATGTTGCCCTACAGGGAGCATTTTTAAGGGGCTTGGCTGAAAATATTAAAGATGAGTTGGCAGTTCGTGATGAAACCAATAATCTTGAAGAGCTGATTTCTCTTGCGACTACTTTGGATAATCGACTTATAGAGAGACGCAGAGAGAAGGCTAGTCGGCAAAATTTTTCTCTGGGTCCTGTGTCAGCTCAGCATTTCATGCCTCATGTGCCTATCTCTTCTCCTGTGCCCTCTAGCACTACTAAAGTTGCACCAGCTGAGGAGCCTATGCAATTGGGCCGGGCTCACCTTACCTCAGATGAACCTCTTCGTCGGCAAACTGAGGGTCTATGCATCTACTGCGGCCAGGCAGGGCATTACATCAGGACCTGTCCTCTGCTGCCAAAAGAGCGGGCTCATCAGTGAGTGGGGAGCTCATGGTGAGCCAAATCTCTTCTCCTCAACCCTTCAACCAACTCCGGCTGCAAATCCAGTCCACACTCTTATGGCAATGTGAGTCCGTTCCAACTTTTTCACTTGTTGATTCAGGGGCAGATGACAATTTCATTGACTCTAATTTGGTCAAACTAGCCAACATTCCCACTGAATCTATTGGAATTCCACAGACTGTTAATGCTTTGAGTGGCGATCCTTTAGCCAAGATAACATTTCGTACCAAGCCTGTAACTTTCTTGTTATCTGGGAACCACAGAGAAGTCTTACAACTTTTGGTAATTTCGTCTCCGCAAGCACCTATTGTTTTAGGACTCCCTTGGCTTAAGAACCACAATCCCCACATTGACTGGGCTGCTAACAAGATCACTAGCTGGAGCACATTTTGTCATTCCCATTGCCTTCACTCAGCTGTGTCCACTAATGATACTCCTTCTAGGGAACCCCCTATTCCTCCTGACCTGACTTCCGTTCCTAAGGACTATCACGATCTGGTGGAGGTTTTTAGCAAACAGAAGGCGCTGTCTCTACCCCCACACAGGCCTTATGACTGTGCTATAGACTTGTTACCAGGAGCTCCATTGCCCTCCAGTCGTCTCTACAAGTTGTCCTGTCCAGAGAGAGAGACCATGGAGACATATATTAAGGACTCGTTAGCAGCAGGGTTAATTCGCCCCTCAGCTTCACCAGTGGCTGCAGGATTCTTTTTTGTGGACAAAAAGGATAAGTCCTTACGTCCTTGCATTGATTACAGAGGGCTTAATGAAATCACTGTGAAGAACAAATACCCATTACCACTCATTGACTCAGCCTTCGAACCACTTCATCAGGCCACAGTATTCTCTAAACTGGATCTAAGAAATGCTTATCTGGTCCGGATAAGACAAGGGGACGAATGGAAGACTGCTTTCAACAACCCCATTGGCCATTTTGAATATTTGGTTATGCCATTCGGACTCACAAATGCCCCTGCGGTTTTTCAGAACTTGGTGAATGATGTTCTTAGGGACATGATCAATAAGTTTGTTTTTGTGTACTTGGATGACATCCTGATTTTTTCAAAAGACCTTGAGAAACACGTTCAACATGTCCGCACTGTTTTGCAGCGTCTATTGGAGAACAGACTCTTCGTAAAGGCAGAGAAATGTCAATTCCACGTCCCCTCTGTGCATTTCCTGGGGTTTGTGATCGAACGGGGCCAGGTCAAGGCTGACCCTGAAAAAGTGAAAGCAGTCGCTGAGTGGCCCAGACCAGAGTCCCGTAAACAGCTCCAAAGGTTCCTTGGTTTTGCCAACTTCTACCGCCGGTTTATTAAAGACTACAGCAGAAAGGCGGCCCCGCTTACCCAGCTCACCTCCACATCAGCCCCATTTAAATGGTCCCTGGAAGCCGAGACTGCTTTTAACTCACTTAAGACTCTGTTTATTTCAGCTCCAGTGCTCTCCCACCCTGATCCCACCAGACAATTTATTGTCGAAGTCGACGCTTCTGACTCTGGAGTTGGAGCTGTCCTGTCTCAGCGTTTCGTGGTGGATGGAATGCTTCATCCCTGTGCCTTCTACTCTCGGCGGCTCTCCCTGGCTGAGAGGAATTACGATATTGGTAACCGGGAGCTTCTGGCTGTGGTCCTTGCCCTACAGGAGTGGCGGCATTGGCTCGAGGGAGCTGAGCACCCCTTCATAGTTTGGACGGATCACAAAAACCTTTCCTACCTGCGCTCTGCCAAGAGGCTAAACTCTCGACAAGCTAGATGGGCTTTATTCCTAGGAAGATTTAATTTTGTGCTCACGTACCGCCCTGGTTCACGTAATTTAAAGCCAGATGCTTTGTCTCGCCAGTCAGTCAGTGAAGAACGTGATTCCCAGCCGGTCCCCATTCTTTCTCCTGCCCTGATTAGAGATGCTCCAGAGACTACCTCGTCCTACATGGTGGGAGCTGTGCTCTGGGAGATTGAGAATACGGTGCGTGAAGCACAACGTTCACAGCCAGACCCAGGTAACGGACCACCAAACAGTTTGTTTGTGCCCGACTCCGTCCGCTCTGATGTCCTTCTATGGGGTCACTCGTCTAAACTCACATGTCATCCAGGTTTCAACCGCACTTTGAGTTTCCTTAAACAGAGGTTTTGGTGGCCCACTATGAACCAAGATACATGCTCTTTTGTTTTATCATGTACTGTTTGTGCCCGCAGCAAGTCCATCCATCAACGCCCGGCTGGTCTCCTTCACCCCCTTCCAATTCCCAGCCGACCATGGTCACACATTTCTGTGGACTTCGTCACTGGTTTGCCACCCTCCGATGGTAATACATGCATACTTACCATTGTGGATAGGTTCTCTAAAAGCGTCCATTTTGTTCCCCTGGCTAAATTACCCTCTGCCACTGAAACTGCTAACCTACTAGTCCACCATGTTTACAAGTTGCATGGAATTCCTACAGACATTGTTTCGGACAGAGGGCCTCAATTCACATCTCAGGTTTGGAAAGCTTTTTGCAATTCCCTCGGGACATCTGTCAGTCTTTCCTCAGGTTATCACCCTCAGTCTAATGGCCAAAGTGAAAGGGCGAACCAGGACCTCGGTTTGGCTTTGCGTTGTGTGACCTCTCGCCATCCGTCTTCCTGGAGTATGCACCTGCCTTGGATCGAATATGCCCACAATTCTCTCATCACCTCGTCAACCGGTATATCTCCTTTTATGGCATGTCTCGGTTACCAACCTCCTCTGTTCCCAGACCAGGAGCAGGATGTGGCTGTGCCGTCCGTTCAGACTCACCTCAGGCGTTGCCGGAGCGTCTGGAAGTCTGTCAGAGCAGCTCTTAAACGCGTAGCTCAACGCAACCAGGAGATTGCGGATCGGCAGCGTAGGCCGGCCCCCTCATATCAACCCGGGCAGAGGGTCTGGCTTTCCTCCAGGGACCTTCCTCTTCAAGTGGAGTCACGTAAGCTGGCGCCTAAATTCATTGGTCCTTTTGTCATTGAGAAAGTCCTTAATCCGGCTGTGGTCCGTCTGAAGCTGCCGTCCTCTCTTAATGTCCACCCTACTTTCCATGTTTCCCTTCTCAAGCCTGTCTCCAGCAGTCCTCTTGCCCCTCCTGCCGATCCCCCCCCCCTCCCGCCCGGCTGGTGGATGGTCACCCGGCCTTTTCCGTCCGCCGCATTCTCGGTGTCCGCCGGCGCGGCCGCGGTTTTCAATTCTTGGTGGACTGGGAGGGGTACGGTCCGGAGGAGCGCTCTTGGGTCCCTCGGGGCCACATTCTTGATGCCTCGCTCCTACGTGACTTCTACAGGACCCGTCCTGACCGGCCTGGTTGGACGCCCGGTGGCGCCCCCTAGGGGGTGGGGTACTGTCACATCCTGTGCCTCTGCTGCCTGCTCTACTCCCCCTCCCTTCCCTCTGTGTGAGGGCAGGGGTGGGGCCTGCACTGCACACCTGGAGGCAATCACATCTCTTCAAGTACCCAGCTCTACAGCCTGTTGGTGCCAGATTGTTTCGTCTCATCTACTGGTGAAAGTCCTACATTTGGCTAGTTTTCTTGAGCTATTTCTCGATCCCTGTACTTACCTGTTTTTGTTGTTTTTTGGCAGTTCCTGTGTTCCTGTTTTTGACCTCCTTGCCTCCAGACCCTCCAGCACTCCCCCTCCTTAAATAAATTGTATTTTTATTTTTCACGCTTGAGTCGCCTTTTTGGGTCCCATATTGTGCCGTAACAGGACAATTTCTTTGTGCAATCACCAGGGTTTGTGTGTCTGCATGTTAGTTAGTTAGTTAGTTACTTGGCAGATTTTTTTTTATGGGAAAAAATTGAGACAATTTGGAGAAGGATGTGCATCACTCTCTAGATCCACAAATGTTTAAATTGAACTCTTGTTGAAGGTATGTGCACTACGAGTGCTTTTTAGTTAAACATGTAACTGCTGAATTCAAGCAAAATGAAACAAAATAACTCACCTCTGACACTGAGCCTGGTCCCGTTCCCGAACAGGACCTGTCCACAGGCGGCCACAGCGCAGTAGTACGTCCCAGTTTGCTTTGAGCTCATGTTCTGAATGTGGAGGTTGTAGAAGCAGGAGTTTGTCGGGTTTGTTTTGTCGCTCTTGCACTGATCCTCGCTGTAGAGAACTGCTGCAGACTCTTCAGACTGTCTGAACCAATGGACCCTGTGTGGCCCCAGATACGTTCCAGAATCAACCTCACAGCGAAGGACCAGAGAGTTTCCTGCTTCCACTGGTTCTGATGCTATTTGATGGACGCCGAGTCCAGGGTTCAAAGTCTTTACGATGACGTGAACAGACGCCAAGAGCTGGATGTTATGAGCCACTGCACTGAGGCAATGATAAACAGCTGAATCAGAAATTCTTACCTTTGATATTTCAAGATTGTTTTCATTGTCCAGTTTGAAGCGATCGTTGTTGGCGAAGTCACCGTAAAATTCAGTTCCAAAGTAAGAAGAAACCACAGCCGTAATGTTGTCCAGACTCTGTTTGTACCAGTAAAGTCTCCCTTGAAGATCGTTTTCAGAGAAAGACGGCAAAATCACATTCTCTCCAAGTGCCACTGGTAAGACCGTCGTCTTTACTGCTGCACCTCCATCTGTCGACGGCTGAAAATCTTTGCTCTTCACTGAACAAAAGAAACGTAAGAAGTTAGAGCAGGATAAGACTGAGACATAACGACAGAAACTCACCCGTGACCAGTTGTACGAGAAGGAGGCAACAGACCATCTGCACAGGAGCCATTCTCTTCAAACACTCTTCTTCACTGAACTGCATCCTGACTTTGTCAAGAAACAAGCTCGACTCTGATTGGCCGAGCTGAAGTCACACCACACAGTGACATGAACACATAAAGATCGGGGAGATTGGTGTTTTTCCTCCACATATACTAACAGACACAGACACACCTACAACATCCTCATTGGTTTGAGAGACACAGAGGCAAACTGCCTTTTTTAAAGCTAAGAGGTGTAATTTTTGAGAGATGGCAGGTCACTCACTCGGCAAGGCAGATTTTATTTGTATAGCACAGTTAATGCACAAGGAAACTCAAAGGTGTTTAACAAAACAAGATAGAAACAATCACACAAGGCATTCAATCATTTATAATTACAGTGCATTAAAAAGAGTAAAGAAACAGTCCCTCAGTTGTATACACAGCTAAACAGAACTGTTTTTGACCTGAATTTGAACATTGTCAGAGAAGAAGCCTGTCTCACATTTTTGGGAAGACTGTTCCAACTGTGGTCTCCTCACCACTAACACACAGCAGAGATAAAGCTGGGCGTTCCATTAACCTTTCTGGCTGGACCTCACTGAAGAATAGATAGTATTAATAAACTAGCTGAATCCATGGAAGTCTTATTATGGGAGTAATTAGTTGTGGCCATTGGTATAAGTTCACTGAAATGCTGATGTATACGAGAAAGACATATATGTAGTAAGTATTGTATAGATGCGGTGGTGGAGGCAGTGAAGCTACAGGTGAACTCTGGAGTAAACACAGTCTGTCTGAGCCGTGACTCTCTGTTGTCTGGAGGAAGACTGAACACTCAGAGCAGCGTAGTGAAGAGAGTCCTCGTCCTGCTCCAAACAATAACAAACACAGACATGTTGTTCCATCACGTGTCTCCTCTGACGGTGGAAGTCTACCTGGGCGATAGTGGCTCACTCCCACTGCTGTCTACTGTCGTTGTGTCCTTGGGCAAGACACTTTATCCCACTTTGCCTATGAGGATCACAGAAGTAACAGCATGCTGCATGCCTTGATGTGGTCCAGTCCCGACTGTAAACCAGGGTGACTGCCTCTACAGTCGTGTTGTGGCGCTGAACATGTGGCTCCAGACTACATGCAGCTCTTTTAACTTTGTTTTTGTGAATAACTTTGGCCTGTTCTGGAAGCGTCATGTGGCTTATTGTGCAGATGGTCTGCACCCAAACAGATACGGTACTAGTTTATTGACCGATTATTTCGCCATGTTGTTCAGTTCTCCCCGAGGGGGGCGTGACTGTTTTTGATGGTTTGTTCATTGCAGGGGATTTTAATATACATGTAGATCATGGTAATGACAGAAATGCAAAAGAGCTGAGTTCATTACTGGAAACCTTTGGTCTCACTCAGCATGTGAGTGGCCCCAACCACAGCAAAGGGCACACTGTTGACCTGTTAGCTACTAAGGGGGTGAATATTTTAAATGTAAATGTGGTTGATGTTACTTTGTCAGATAATTTCTGTGTATTTTTTGACATGTGTCTTGATAGTAAACCACCAATTGAATCTGGAACTGTTAGAAGACGACACATAAAGGAATGCACGGGTGAACTGTTCATGGAAATGATACACTTAGAGACCATGTTGTGTTCTACTGTAGATGAACTGTTAAACTCTGTCACCTCTAGTGCTCTGAATGTTCTGGATACCATTGCCCCTATAAAGGTTAAAATGGTTACAAATAAGCAAAAGGCACCATGGACTAAAGCAGACTCGGTCAGGTCGCAGAAGAGAGAGTGCCAAAGGGCCGAGCGGAAATGGTGAAAGTCCCATCTCCAAGTTGACCATGAGATCTTCAAAGATGAGTTGTGCAAGTTTAACAGAGTTCTGCGTAAAACGAGGGAAGCTTATTTTTCTGAAACCATTGAAGGCTGTAGTAACAATCTACGTGTGCTGTTTTCAACAGTTAACAGATTAACAAATCCCCCTGTTAAAATACCATCAGAACTTACCTCCAAATCTAAATTTAATGAGTTTGCACAGTTTTTTAATGAAAGTTCAAGGCATCGAAAACGCCATCACCTCTACGGCAGAAATAGCAATCCAACAGCCAGTGAGGCTTTTTGAGCTGACGCACTTTACACCTGTACATAATGAAGCTGTCCAAGAGATAATCTCTAGTCTGAGTTCCTCCACATGTAGTCTGGATGTATTACCTCCTAGATATCTTAAATCTGTCCTGAGCAGTCTTTTACCTCCACTTACACAAATAGTGAATATGTCTCTTAAATCTGGAACATTCCCAATGGCCCTGAAAACGGCAGTCATCAGGCCCCTCCTAAAAAAGAGGAGTCTGGATGCCATGGTAATAAAAAACTACCGGCCCATTTCAAATCTGCCATTTTTGGGAAAAATTCTTGAAAAAGTGGCCTATCAACAACTTTTTAATAATCAATAATGCTTTTGATATGTTCCAGTCTGGCTTCAGACCCCACCACAGCACTGAGACCGCGCAAGTGACATCAAATTTAGCACTGATGCAGGAAAAGTCTCAATCCTAATCCTATTGGATTTAAGTGAAGCTTTCGACACTGTCTACCATGGCATCCTCTTACAGAGATTAGAGGATTGGGTTGGTGTGGCTGGCACCGCCCTAAGTTGGTTTAGGTCCTATCTATAAGACAGAAAGTATTTCGTAGAGATCGGAAACTGTGTCTCAGACCATCTGGCCCTAACCTGCAGAGTGCCACAGGGGTCGATCCTGGGGCCTCTTCTGTTCAATATTTACATGCTGCCGTTAGGTCAGTTAATACGCAATAATAACGTATCCTATCACAATTACGCCGACGACGCTCAGATTTATGTGTCCTTGACAGCAGAGAACATTGACCAGTGGACTCACTCCTTCACTGTATCCAGCATATCAGTGAATGGATACAAAATAACTTTCTCCAACTAAACACAGACAAAACTGAAATAATTGTCTTTGGTCCAGAGAAATAAAGAGAAAGCGTAATCTCTCACCCTAAAACCATCAAACCAGGTCAGAAATCTAGGAGTAATAATGGATTCAGACTTAAATTTGAATAGCCACATTAAATCAGTAACATCAGCAGCTTTTTACCATCTAAAAACATTGCTAAAATCAAAAACATAGTGTCTAAAACAGACTTGGAGATTCTTATCCATGCATTTGTCTCCAGTAGGTTGGACTACTGCAATGGCCTGCTCACAGGTCTGTCCAAACAGGCTGTAAAACAGCTGCAGTACATTCAAAATGCAGCAGCTCGAGTCCTGACTAGAACCAGGAAGTACGACCACATTAGTCCAGTTCTCAGGTCTCTGCACTGGCTTCCTGTGGCTCAGAGAATAGACTCTAAAGTAGCGCTGATTGTGTTCAAGTCTCTCCATGGCCTCGCACCAAGGTACATAGGCGACATGTTGGTCCCATATAAACCAGCCCGGACTCTGAGGAGCACAGGAACGGGCCTCCTGCTGGTGCCCAGAGTCAGAACAAAACATGGGGAGGCTCCTATAATATGCAATTCATGATAATAGCACTTCCGGGTTTACCACGATCGCTTTTTTTGTGCATAAAAACATTTTTTTTCATTTAAACGTAAATAAACAATTCTGAAAACCTCCGTGCATGTGTATTAATAATGTATATGTATAATGTGTTCTCTGATTAACATTTAAAAGTGTTACGGAAATGTAGGTGTAGACCAATCAGAAAGGAAGGGGGAGGGAGCTTGCGTCGTTTTTTTCAAATCAAGTACCTCTCTTGATTTTTGCTTTAATTGTCTTATTTGAAGAACCTAAAAAGCCGTAAACATAAGAAGACAGAATGAATTTTCCACATTTAATACGCGAAAGATTTGGAGCACGGTGTCTCAAAGCTTTCCGTCATCTGGAGAAGATCAAGAAAGCCCGAGCCCGCCAGAACAACCACCTGAGATTCAGCCTGAGATGCAGAGACGAAAATGTGACTCCAAAGAGTCTTAAAATCAAGAACCCCATACACACAAGGAACGCGGACAGGATAATCAACAAAGCAAAACAGGATTTACTAAAAGAACGGATACGGATGATAAACATCAGAAGAGAGGCGCTAGCCAAGGAGTTACGGGAACAAACACATATTTTTGAAGAACTATACCTCCTACAAGAGGAAGAAAAATTATGGATGGACAGACAATTACATGACACATACGAAAAAGAATTCGAAACAACCAAGAAGCGACAAATCGGTAAGCTACAAAAACTCATTACGAACAAAAGACAGCGCACACAGGGACCCAGTAACGATAAATGGCTATGTAATCTATCAAAACGCACACTCACGGACACAGAACAAAACATACTAAAACGAGGACTAAATTTTGCCATCACACCGGACAAGATACCACACGAAGAGTTTATATTAGCAACGGAGTTAGCATGCGATAAGACACATGACCAGGGAAAAAAGGCAGACCTTAGGAACACACTCAAAGCAGCAAAACTACCACCCAGCAACATATCAAAAGAAGAAAGAAGGGCACTCATTTCACTCACCAAGGACAAACACATTACAATAATACCGGCGGACAAGGGAAGAACCACGGTGGTTATGGACACACAGGACTACGAGGAAAAAATGAACTCACTACTAAGCGATACAAATACATACGAAATATTAAAAAATAACCCCACAGAGGAAAAGAAACAGAAACTGAAGTCATTACTCAAATCTCTAGCAGACGCAGGAAAAATAACCAAGCATACAACCATTTCATTCCCACAGCCAATATCACCCCACGTATGTATGGCACACCAAAAATACACAAAGAAAACACACCACTCCTCCCCATAGTAGACAGCACAGGATCAGTCACATACAACCTATCAAAAGCACTAGTTGAAATAATAAAACCTCTCATTGGAAACACTAACCACCACTGCAAAAACTCAAAGGAACTGGCTCAGGAACTCAAAAACATATCAATCGAAAGGACGAGGCACTCATATCACATGACGTTGTGTCATTATTCACCAAGACACCCGTTGACGTCACTATTCACATTGTACAAGAGAGACTTAAGAAGGACCGGACACTCAAAAAACGCACAAACCTCACAGCTACAGACATAACACAACTTCTAACGTTTATTGCCAAAGCCACTTCCAATACAAGGACACAATATACAGACAGAAGGAGGGTTTTGCCATGGGGGATCCACTATCTGCAATAATGAGTAACTTTTTCATGGAGGATTTAGAGGAGAGAGCCATCAACACAGCACCACAACAATATAATCCAACCCTATGGAAAAGATACGTCGACAACATTTTAGAAAAAGTAAAGACGGGAAACACACAGGACCTCACTGAACATCCCAACACCATAGACTCAATAGGACACATACAATTCACACATGAGGAGGAGAGGGAGGGCTGCATACCTTTTCTGGACTTAAACATTCACCACCAACAGGACGGCAGCATCAAGACCACAGTCTACAGGAAACCAACACACACTGATCAATATTTACTCTGGACTTCAGAACACCCCATTGCACACAAACTATCTGTTGTCAGAACACTATTTGAACGCCTCAACAACATCACAGAGGAAGAAGACAGGATAAAAGAAGAAGGACACATAATCCAAGCACTCAAGGTTTGTCAATATCCCAGATGGGCAATACAGAAAGGAAGACAACAGGTACTAAACAAACAGATCACACAAAAACAGAGAAAAAAGCAACCACAAAAACAGAACGAACACGAAGACATAGTCACCATACCATACATACAAGGGGTCACGGAGCAGATACAGAGAGCACTCGGAAAACACAGCATCAATGCAATAATCAAACCACACAAGAAGCTCAGACAGATCCTCGTTCACCCAAAAGACAAAATACAACCGGAAAAAAAGTGCAATGTCATATACGAAATACCATGTAGAACCTGCAATAAAACATACATCGGGGAAACGGGGAGAGCTTTCAGCACCAGAAGAAAGGAACATCAAAAGGAATGCGAAAAAGAAACAGCAGCGCGACTAACAAGAGCAACCAAGGAAAAGGCAACACAGGAAAACCTCAAATCAGCAATATCAGACCACTGCAAAAGAGAGAATCACATCATGGACTGGGACAATGCAAAAATAGTAGCAACAGAAGAACATAATTACAAAAGATGGATACGAGAGGCGATCGAAATCAGGAAGCGGGGAACACGGACCATCAACAGAGACGAGGGGGCTTTCACCTTGGCTCACACTTGGGATTCACTTCTCCGGAGACCACAGCGCGGCGGGGGACGTGGTCAGTCTGATGAATCTGTGAGATCTGTCAGACTGACTGCTTCCGGCAACAACAGCTGATAAGAGACGCATCACACCATCGTGTGTCACCTCTGTTCCCAAACAGGACTTGTCCACAGGCGGCCACAGCGCAGTAGTACGTCCCAGTTTGATCTGAGCTCACGTTATGAATGTGGAGGTTGTAGAAGCAGGAGTTTGTTGGACTGTCCGTGCTTTTCTCGCACTGATGACTACTATTCCCACGACTGTAGATAACTCCTGCTGTGGATTCTTCAGACTTCTTGAACCAGTGAACGCTGTGTGCTCCATTACAGCTCCCATTCTGGACGCTACAGTTTAAACTCACAGATTCTCCTCGATCTATGTCCTCATTTTCTAACGGCTGGATCTTAAAAGTCAGGTTCTGTCTCATTACAACAACATTAAAGGTTTCAGTGATGTCCAGATTGTTTAGGTAAAATTTCACACAAAGATAAATCCCTGAATCAGACGTTTGGACACGTTTAATATAGAGGTCAAAATGCTTGTGTTGAGTTACCAGTGAGAATCGTCGGCTGGTGTTGAACTCTCCTAACAAAGATGGGTTGGGCTGATATTTAGTCAAAGACGAAACACAAACTGTCTTTTTGCCTAAACTTTGCTTGTACCAATAATACGTTCCTCCAAAGTCTTTGAAATCTTTGTTGAAACAGGGCAGAGTGATGTTGCCTCCAGGAGCAGCGAAGAGGAAATGGTTTGTTTCATGAAGATTCACTGAAATTAAAGGCCACAACAAAGTATGATTGTAACTCATTTCAACAGATGATAATGTTCATAATTCTAAAGTAACTCACTGTTAGTGGCCAACACTAGACTGAAGACCGACACGAGACTGAAGACCAGCAGAACTCTGAACATGTTGAGATGCAGGTGCAGACTGGAAATGGTTGATCCCGCCTCTCTGCTCTTTGCAGCCAAGCTCGCACCTGATTGGCCGACAAGATGGCAGGGGATTCTGATTGGCTGCCTGATCTGAGTATGGTGTTATAAATGTGTGTAGCGCACAACAAAGACATGGCTGCAATTGTCATTTTTACGGTTCCTGTGATTTAACTGTTTGATTCTCTGATCTGGTGATGGTGAATTGACAACTTGGTGAAATCCTCCCAAACGACTGCTGCTGTGAATGAAGGCGATACACAAAAACATTGACACACACATTTTCAGTAGCAAAAATAATGATGAGACCAAGGCCACAGACCTTTGTGTGTATGTGTGTGTGTGAGAAAGAGAGAGAGATTTTGTGTGTGTAAGACAAGATAAGATAAGAGTTCCTTTATTCGTCCCACAGTGGGGAAATTTCGATGTTGCAGCGCACATACAGGACAGTAGTAAGAGCACACAATATATACATAATACGTAGTAGCTATGTTTCTTAACTAGCATATCTGGCTGTAGATGCTGGAAATGCTTCAATACCAGTCAAAAAATATATATATGTAGTAGTGCAGAGTTACACACTGTACATACAGTGCAGGATAATAAGTAGATAAGTAAAGTTACATTGTTCAGTGGATATTCTGAAGTTACAGTATTGCACATTGCACATGATTTAAGAATTTACTTATTTACAGATGAATGAAATTTACAGGCGCAGCAGTTCTTATTGTACAGTCTGACAGCAGCAGGAAGGAAAGACCTACGGAACCTCTCCTTCACACTGCGAGGGTGAATTAGTCTGTCACTGAAACTGCTCTCCAGAGCAGAGAGAGTGTCCTGCAGGGGGTGACAGTCATGGTCCAGCATAGATGTTAGTTTGTCCAGGACCCTCCTGTCCCCCACCTACTGCACTGTGTCCAGGGAACAGCCCAGGACTGAAATGGACTTCCTGATGACCTTGTCCAGCTTCTTCCTTTCTCTCTCTGTGATGCTGCTGTTCCAGCAGACCACACCGTACAAGATGGCTGATGCCACCACAGAGTCATAGAAGGTCTTCAGGAGTGGCCCCTGCACTTCAAAAGACCTGAGCCTCCTCAGCAGGTAGAGCCGGCTCTGGCCCTTCTCGAAGAGGGCGTCTGTATTATGAGTCCAGGCCAGTTTGTGGTTCAGATGAACACCCAGGTACTTGTAAGAGTCCACTCTCTCGATGTCCTTTCCCTGGATGTTCACTGGAGCTGGAGCGGCAGAGTGACGTCTGCGGAAATCCACCACCATCTCCTTGGTCTTCCCCGCGTTGATGAGGAGGTGGTTCCGCTGACACCAGTCCACAAAGTCCTGTATAACTCCTCTGGACTCCGTGTCATTGTCCTTGGAGCTGAATCCGATGATGGCAGAGTCGTCGGAGAACTTCTGGAGGACACAACCTTCCGTGTTGTGTCTGAAGTCCGCAATGTAGAGGGTGAAGAGGAACGGCGCGAGGACAGTCCCTTGGCGGGCCCCCACACTGCAGGTCAGGACCTCAGACACGCAGTCCCTGGTTTTCACTAATTGGGGTCTGTCTGTGAGGTAGTCCAGGATCCACTGGGACAGGTTGTAGTCCACTCCAGCTGTCTCCAGCTTGTCCCTGAGAAGCCTCGGCTGGATGATGTTGAAGGCACTGGAGAAATCGAAGAAGAGGATCCTCATAGTGGAGCCGGGTCTCTCTAGGTGGGACAGGGAGTGATGGAGGAGGGAGATGATGGCGTCCTCAACTCCAATGCCCGGCCGGTACGCAAACTGCAGCGGGTCTATCGCTGGGCTCAGAGTGGAGCGGAGATGTCCCAGGACCAGTCTCTCCAGTGTTTTCATGCAGTGGGATGTAAGAGCCACTGGCCTGAAATCGCTGAGGTCTTTGGCCCGTGGTTTCTTGGGCACTGGTACCACACAGGAGGTCTTCCAGAGCTGTGGTACCGACCTCAACTTGAGGCTCAGGTTGAAGACGGGCTCCATCACTCCACAGAGTTTATCTGCGCAGGAGCGAAAGAGCCTGGAGCTTTTGTTGTCTGGTCCTGGAGCTTTCCTGGTCTTTATCCTCCTCATCTCTGTCCTCACCTGAGCAGCAGTGAATGACAGGGGGGTTGGGATGGGCGGGTGCTGAGTAGAGAGGGCGGGGGCTCAGTGGTGGTGGGTAAGTGTCTCTGGGAGGGCTGGGGGAAGACTGTGGTGCCATGACAGAGGTGAGAACGATCGTAGGTGTTTGTTCCGCTGCCGGAGTGAGGGGGAGCGTCTGCGCTGGGGGAGCGTCTGCGCTGGGGGAGCGTCTGCGCTGGGGGAGGGGAAGGCTGGTGGTCAAAGCGAGCAAAGAATGTGTTTAGCTCGTTTGCCCACAGCTGGTCTCCTGCGGGCTGACAGGGGTGTGTTTTGAAGCCTGATATGGATTTGATGCCTCTCCACACCCCCCGCACGTCCTGCCGAGCCAGTTGCTCTTCCATCTTCCTCCTGTAGATGTTTTTGGCTGCGCGTATATTCCACCTCAACTTCCTTTGCGCGGATTTAAGGGCTTCCTTATCCCCTGATTTAAAAGCTTTTTGTCCTTAAGCAGAGCTTTGATGTCAGGGTTGATCCACGGCTTATTGTTCGGGAAACACCAGACAGTGCGGGCTGGTACGGTGTTCTCAAAACTAAAGTTGATGTAGTCCGTGACACACTCTGTCATGGCATTAATGTCCTCCCCGTGTGGGTCACAGAGCTCGTTCCACAGCGTTGTGTCAAAACAGTCTCTGAGGGCCTCCTCCACACGTGAGACAGCAGGATGCCTACGCACAACCGGCTCATAAATGAGCCGTAGGTTAGCTAATGTTGTAGTCCACTCTGCCCAGGGGGGGCAGTGTGAGAGATTGTGTGTGTGTGTGTGTGTGAGAGAGAGAGGACGTGGGTGGGAGCTGCATCAGGTGAGGATGTGGTGAGGGTGTGGTGTGTGAGTGTGTGTGTCTCATACCCTGTAGCAAAGTATTGTATATTACCGAATGTTCTGCACCGTGTCTGAAATGTATTCTTTATATTAAAGCTACTATCGATCCTCCCAGCTGTGCTCGTCCAATAAGAACAGAGAGGGGGCGGTTCTATCTTAAAATTTGGGAAAATATCTTAAACTATTGTTCTGTCCTCGGTGTATTAAAGTGTGTTGATGTAAGTGTCCGCTTCATCCAACCCCTGGATCAGTTGGAGAGTAGCTTCAGTCACAGACCGATCCACCCCCGCTGTCTGAAGGAGAGGTTTCGCAGGTCTTTCCTTCCTGCTGCTGTCAGACTGTACAACGAACAACGAGGACTAACAAACACTCCCGACGTGACCTCACACGTTTATGGGAACCTGTCTCCAGACGGAAATGCAAAGTAATAAGTAATGTTTATTTATATAGCGCATGTTACAGACCAAGGTCAACCAAAGAGCTTTACAATGTTCAGAAATCAGATATTGTTCCATTCACACACGATGATGACGGGAGTGAGACCTGAACACACTGGATCAAAGCCCCAAGACCACTCTCTCTTTACATTCAGACCTATTGTACATGTTTTTAGTGGTAGGGGAAACTGGAGCACCAGGAGGAAACCTACGCAGACACGGGGAGAACATGCAAACTCCACTCACAAATTCCGACCGAGATTTGAACCCATAAAGAAGCGACATGTAAGTAAAGCAAGGCACGTTTATTTGTATAGCAAAGTCACAAGGAAACTAAAAACAAAAACAAATAAAGCAACAAGATAAATAAATAATGACAGCACTTAAAAATAGTTTAGATACATTTTTAGTCGTCTCAGATTTTCTGGAAGACTGTTCCAGATTTTAGCTTCATTAATCTGAAACGCTGCCGCCTCATGTTTAGTCCTAACACTGGAACCAGCAGGAGGCCAGTCCCTGTGCTCCTCAGAGTCCGAACAGGAGGCCAGTCCCTGTGCTCCCCAGAGTCTCAGCAGAGGCCAGTCCCTGTGCTCCTCAGAGTCTCAGCAGAGCCCAGTCCCTGTGCTCCTCAGAGTCTCAGCAGGAGGCCAGTCCCTATGCTCCTCAGAGTCCCAGCAGGAGGCCAGTCCCTGCGCTCCTCAGAGTCTGAGCAGGAGGCCAGTCCCTGCGCTCCTCAGTTGGTCCCTATGGCACAAACATAGATACCATTATGATCTCCTGTGAAGGAGCGCCCTCTTGTGGTCAGCCTTCGGGAACACAATAAACGTTTCCTGTGTTTGTTGTGAGACAAAACCTTTGCCACATGATAAAAAGTCTGCAAAATAAATTGCCAAAAAAAAGTATAAAATAGAGGAAAACAAGTGATTATTTCGGCCTCTCTCCAGTGTGTACTCTCATATGTGATCTTTGGTTCCCTGAACGAGAAAATATCATCTCACAAACTTCACAGCTGTAGGGTTTCTCTCCAGTGTGGACTCTCATATGTCGTTTGAGAGAATCCCACTGTTAAAATCGAGTCCCACACTGGTCACAGCTATATGGTTTCTCTCCAGTGTGGACTCTCATATGTTGTTTGAGGTTACCAAACTGTGTAAATCCTGTCACACTCGTGTGGTCTCTCTCCTGTGTGGATTCTCATATGTGTTTTTAATGTAGAAGAGTGTGTAAACACTTCACCACACTGGTCACAGCTTTATGGTTTCTCTCCTGTATGGATTTTCATATGTTGTTTAAGGGAACCTAAATGTGTAAATTCCGTCCCACACTGATCACACTCGTGTGGTTTTTCTCCAGTGTAGACTCTCATATGTCTTTTTGACCCTTTAAGCGCCAGAGGTTTTTTTCCAAAACGCTCGATTTTGACAGCCTTACTCTGAGAAACACTGTTCTCACTGCAGACCCTATGCAAAGTGTCCAAAGTTAGTGTTTGGTGCGCTATAACACTCACAGGCTGCCCTCGCAGCGGCATCGCTTCACCATGATTTCCGCACTGGTTCAACGCGGTCTTGCTTGAATATTTTCTATGGGAGCAT